CAACCCGAAATTTCTATCTAGTAAAGCCAATCAATCCAATCAAATGCCAGACTTGTTTCTGCTATCTTTTAGCATTGCCAGAAGTCTGTTTGAGTGTTCTAAGCCTAGTCCACTTAAGGATTGTATGTTGGGGTGTGTCAGCTAAAGTTCATTGAGTTGCAATCGAGCCGGAAACTCCATCACAAGGAGTTCACGGCCCAAACAAGAGTTTACGGCCGTAAACTCCATGTTGGTCGTGAACCCCTTCCCTTAGGTATCAATTTCCTTCATTTCTTCATCATTCTTCACATCTTCAAGGTTGAAACTCATTTCTCTCTCAAGTATCATCAAGAACATTTCAATTTCTCTTCATTTTTGTAAGTGATTCTTCCATTGTTTCTTAATATCCTTCATAACCTTGTGAAACCCTTTGATAACATCCTTGAATTTATCACGTTTCCTTCAAGATCTTCAAATCTTCATCCTTACACCAAGAACACCTACTTGTTCTTGGTGGCCGTGAACTCCCAAAGGCTTCCAAATCGTAAGTATCCTTCCATATTCTTGTTAACCACTAGAAACTCTTGAAGCCTCATGAAACAAACACCATTTTAGCTTGAACGTCAAGAGTTTACGGCCATAGATTCTCCCTTGGCCGTAAACCCTTCTCATGATCTTTATTGGCCGTAAACTCACCTCCCTTGGCCGTATACTCAATTCCCTTGGCCGTGAACTCAAGTGTGGCTGTGAACACACTTTCCTTTGGCCGTAAACTCCCTTTAGACAATCACATGTGATGTTCACACTTCATTTCAAGTGTTTCCTGGTCCCTAAGGGTGTTTCCCTTCATATTAGTGGTGTTAAACACTAATATTATACATATATGTGTCAATATATGTCATTTAGGACTAGTTTGTGTCTCGGGACTTCATTCGTGGAATTTCTCATCCTTACGCGAATCTTCAATTGAATCACCCACATAAGGTGAGTTCATACCCCTATAATCAATCTTTTAAATGTTTTAAATGCTTTTAGAGGGGGGGGGGGAATACAAGTTGAACACAATGATAATTGTGTAAATGTTATCGGAGATAAACATCATTTTAAAGGATTTCTTATGTGTTTATAAGTGATCAAAGCATTTCTAAAACTCTTTTAAAGTTAAGTTACTTTATTGTTTATAAAACTCTGTTTTTAAAGTACAATCATAACTCAGTAGATAATCGAGTCTTTTCTACAAATCAGATACAGTTCAAGTAAACATACTAGTAAACTATAATAGGTATAGTTTAAGGGTTCAGTTCATACTATAACTAGTACAGGGAGGAACATACTATAACTAGAACAGGGATGAACATACTATAACAAGTTCAGGGAGGAACATACTATAACAAAAACAAGAGAACAATAATGTGAAACCACTACTTCACGGCTTAGCAATATACTTGTTATGTCGCGTTTTGTAACCAGAGTCTCCTGGAGGGAGAGCATGAGTTTGTGTATAGATCTATATGGGATTGACACCCCACACCTTGCTGCTAGCTACAGTGGGACTTGCAAGTCTACGGGTGACAAATGTCATACCATTTTCGACGTCTTTGGAGCGTCGTGTTTTATACTAGTCAAATCGAGTATGGTAATGACCTCATCACATTTTAACCTTAATTAACAAACTGCTTTTAAGGTAGTTAGTAAGTCAGTAGTTATTTTATACAATACTACTGTATACTTTCATTTTCCCATTACATTCATATAGTGATATTCTTACATAAACGGTAATGCAAACTATTTTCTAGTAAAGATAGTCATAAAACATGGGAAAACATACACTCTTACCAGAGAACAAACAAGAAGAACAGTCGAGTCTCAGTACATTCAGTTAGAAGGGGGCCTATAATGCTAACTTTATGATTCCTTGATTGATTCCTCAAGGATATATATTAATCCGATCCGACAGGCAGTAGGATGTGTGCTTTCCGCTTCATTTCCTGTTCCTTGTTTGGTTGTGGGCTTAGAGCAGATTCACACAATCTACTATCTATTCGATCTTAGCTATATATATATATTCCGTATACACCAAGTAATCATAAGGAGTACCAGGTATGAGTCAGGTCATAGTATACAATTTCAATACACGGTTTTCTAGTACAAAAACACACTTTTCAGATAGAACACTTAGTAAAATAAACTAGAAACTTATCAGTAACAGGGTTTAATTCATTTTATTAAACCAGTATAAATTAAAGGACCTTTAGGGGTTAATTCTCTAATACCTTAGTTTGCACATCAGGGTTATATATAATTAATATCTGATAGGCAGTTGGATGTGTGCTTTCTGCCTTACTTCCTGTTCCTTGTTTGGTTGTGGGCTTAGGGCAGATTCACCCATTTAACTGTCCGTTCGATGTTAGATTATATATAGCTAGTATAAACTAAGTGATTATAGAATGAACTATTGTGGTTACCATTTTTACTAAAGGAAATATGGTTTTTTCTTGAAGATTGTTTTCATCAAATATAAAGGAACTATTACAGTTAACTCCGTGCGTACCAAATGAATACGCCATGGTTATATACAACGAAGATCTAACAAACAATGGGATGTGTGACTTCCGCCTCATTTCCTGTTCCTGGTTTGGTTGTGGGCTTAGGGCAGATTCACACAATCGATTGTCTGTTTACTCCAGGTTTTATATAACTTGTATCCATTTAGTACTCATAGAAGGGATTGTAGACCCATTTAAATTATCTTTCATCATATCAGAAAATATAGGATTTTCTCGATGAACAGGCGAACTTTTCTAATAAAACTTACAACTTACTTTACATCACTGAAATACTTATGAACTCACCAGCTTAAATGTTGATCTACTCTTTCAAAATAACTTCTATTCTCAGGAAACTAGTAGACAGGTACGCGCACTAGGATTCAGAAGATGGAGCATAGTAGCTTCATGTATTGTTTTATTATTTACTTTTGGAGTCTATCTTATGTGAACCACATAATTTTTAAACACTTTCATATTCATGCAATGGTTGTTTGTTACTTTGATGACTATGATGCATGTGTTGTGATACTAAACATGACGTCCTCCGCCCCCGAACGTTTTCGCCGTTCTGGTTTGGGGGTGTGACAGATTGGTATCAGAGCATTGTTTATAGTGAACTAAGTATATCAACCTATAAAAGATATACAACTATAAATGCAATGGGGCCGAAGTGCTCTGAATAATAATATAGTTTAAAAATATATCAATACTTTATAAAAGTATACATACATGCTTACACACACACACACACACACACATATATATATATATATATATATATACTAGAACGAGTATCACAAGAAGAACAGAACATAAGTATTTAAAGGTTGAACACTATGGTCGAACCTGGACAGTTATGTAATCATATCTGGGATCAATATAGCCAGATCAACTATATTCATTTGAGATGTGACCGACATGTGTTTGGGAGTGATGTGGTGTGGCAACAGTCTTAAAACTTACCTAACTCTATTCAAGGGATTTCTAGATTAGAACATAAAGTTAAAATACTATAGGAGTATTTTATGATACTATAAAACAACAAGAAGTTTAAAACATACCAAGTTCATTACATTAAAATACTATAGGAGTATTTTAGACACTATAAATAACTTATGTGAGAATTTAAAAGACCCTTACCGGTAGGTCTACAATTTAGGAATGTATACTCCCAAGGTTTTATATAAGGGATAATGACTTGAGAGGGTAACATACTTTTGCCTTTGGTCACTGAAATTTTTTTCGTGCTCTATTAACCCTTTAACTTGTTGAATTGTGCTAAGTTATCCTTCCGACTGTTTTTTTGTCGGTTTCAATGGATTTATTGATCCTACGTGTCAGTTTGATCCTACGTGGCATGTAGGGTTATTGTTATTAAAAGAGGGGCGTATGTTGTTCCTTTATTGTGCCCTAATACCCCGATGCCCTAATACCCGATGGCTTCCTCCTACAACTTCTCATCCTCCCTCAATTGATCAAGCAAGAAATCCACAGTGAATGATCCAAAAACTTGTGATTGTGGGTTCCATGCACGTATTTTAACATCAACAACACCAAAGAATCCATGGAGGCATTTCATGGTGTGCAATGAGGTAAGCAATTTCACTTGAATTTTCCCTCTTTTCTGATTCATTTATTCTAGATTTGAAATCTCCTTTTGAATTTTATTTGTTGAAGGGTAAATGCAAATATTGGAAATGGTTGGATGTAGAACCTGTACAGATGCCTCTAATTGAAGTGGTGGAGGGAATGAAAGCTGAATTAGTAGCATTGAAGACCGAAGGAGAGAAGGTGAAGGAAGACATATAACAAATGAAGAAGGAAAAGTACTCAGATGCCATTGCAATGAAGGAGAAAATATATAAGTTTACCATAGGATTTCTTTTTTTTATCATTGTGTATATGATGAAATGATGTGAAATGATGTATTGAAAGATGTTGTTTGAATGGAATAGAGCCATTATCTTAACTTCTTGTTGGAATGGAATGAAGTAACTTTGACTGGAATGGAATCACAAAGAAGTAATTTTGACTGGAATGGAATCATAAAGAAGCATACATATAACGATGAATACATATAAAATTTTGACTGGAATGGAATCACAAAGTAGCATACATATAATTTTGACTGGAATGGAATCACAAAGAATTAGTTTTGACTGGAATGGAATCACAAAGTAGCATACATATAACAATGAATACATATAACGAAGAAATAAGTGAATGTGGTGGTTGGATTCATTTAAATACTCAATTAATATTCGAAATTAAATAAGTTATTGTCTACATACACAAAAGTAGTTTCTAGGTAACACAAAAGATTCCTGCATAGACAAAAGAAGGGCCACCATGTGCCCACACACCTACTTGATAGTACCATAGAAAAGCATAATAAAAAGACTACTACTTTGTCTTTACATCACAACTGCCTCACAAAAGATATTCCCACCCACCCACTACCTACCCACTAAATTAATCAATAATTGAAGGGTTATCTGGATTGCTCCCAACCCCAGGTATTTTCCTCCTTAATGCTTGTTTGATGATCCGTTCAGAATATTGCCTCCTTCCACTTCTACCAACTGGGGCCCTTCTTCTTGGCACAGGGACTGCATGTGGTGGTGGTGGAGGAGGTGGTTGGGCTGCAGGTGGTGGTGGTGGAGGAGGTTGGACTGCAGGTGGTGGTGGAGGAGGTTGTTGGGCTGCAGGTGGTGGTGGAGGAGGTGGTTGGGCTGCAGGTGGTGGTGGAGGAGGTTGTTGGGCTGCAGGTGGTGGTGGAAGAGGTGGTTGGGCTGCAGGTGGTGTTGGTGGAGGTGGTTGGGCTGCAGGTGGTGGTCCTTCATTGCCCCTGGATAAACTTGGGTCTGCTCCACTGCCCCTGGATGAACTTGGTATTGCAAACAAAAAATAAAATGTCAATTCTTTGTTCAAATGATGTAATGTTTTTAAAAATATTAACCTGATGTATTGCTTTGCTGGTTAGATGGACACATTTTCTTGTTGCGACCTGGTTCCTTACAAATACCACACCTTATTAGGCTTCCCCTTCTTGTGACAGTTTGTCTACTTGGTCCACTTAACTCTCTTTCAATTGCATCCCTCTTCCTTTTTACTGATGGCCTACCAGGTAATCTTCTTCTTTTGGGAGGCAAAGGCTTGTGGTATGGAACATCTGGCCACATATCACTACCATTGAGAGGATTAATGCTATATTTGTAGCATTTTAGGTAAGCCTCAGTAGTGTATGATTGGGACACATATGTCTCTGCATCATGATTTAGGTAAGAGATTGCTGCCACTCCATGTAAGCATGGTATACATGTAAGTTGCCATATTCTATAGGCACACTTCTTTGCAATTAGATCCACTCCATATGCAACATCAGTGAATCTAACCTCATACTTTTGATAACCACAAGGAGTAATTCCCCACAATCTGTTTAAAGCAAAAAATATAAATCAATAACACATCCCCATAATTAACATAAGCATATTAAAGTAAAAAACTTACCTCTGTTTAACCTTCAACTCTTCTATACGCTTCCTAATAGTTGGACATATATCCAAATCCCATTCCATTCCTTCAACTCCTTGAGTGTATATCCTTTCCATCACAAATAACCTAATCTCCTCCAGCATAGTGATTATAGGTCTCCTTCTAGCATGCATAATAGCAGAATTGAAACTCTCACTGACTCCATTCTCCACTGCATTAGAATCTCTTCCTTCTTGAAAGAATGCCTTAGACCAGGTAGGAGGATCTCTGTCTATAAGGTAATCATAAGCATGAGTATCAATAGATTTGATCTTCTCTATTACACCTCTAAACTTCTCCACAGTACTAGCCCTTACAGCCCTCCAAAATAACTTCATGTATTCTTGACCAGTAAACCTTTTACTAAAATTGGCCACAATGTGTCTGGCACATTGCCTATGTTCAGCTTCTGGACATCTTTCCCTAACTGCTTGTAATAACCCCTGCAAATCACAACAACATGAGTGAAAAAGCATAAAAATGAAACATAAAAAGGACCTAGTACTAACCTTGTGTCCATCAGAAAGAAGGGTAATGCCTGCACCAAGACCACCATTAATGTCATCCATAAGCAAATCTATGAACCACTTCCATGTTTCTTTAATCTCAACACATACGACAGCCCATGCTATAGGGTAGATGTGGTTGTTTGTATCTCTCCCAACAGCTGAATGAACTTCTCCTCTAACTATACCCTTTAAAAAGCAACCATCAAGCCCAATTACAGGCCTACACCCTTCTAACCAACCATCCCTACAGCTTTGAAACACACATAGAACTTGGAAAACAAAGTTGTAGAATCTGGCATGATGTCTGCATCCAACCTCACAGTAGACCCAGGATTTTGACCTGGTACTTTCCTCACCATATGACCATAATCTCCCATAATGTTCAATTAGACTTCCTTCAATCTCTTGTAATGCAAATTTCTTTGCATTTCTACATTGCCCCACACTCACATTTATGTTGAATGTTGTTGACACTTTAGCTTTCATCTTCCTTGCACTCATTTTTGGGTTCTCTATAATTTGACTCATAAAATGTTTCTCTATCCATCTGTAAGTTACTATTGACCCAAACTTAAACACCCTACAACAATTATGTTCACTCACTAGAGATTCGATCTGAAAAGTCTTTTCTTTACTCATCCAGGAGGCCCATAGTCTGAAAGGGCAAGATGGTGACTTATTCTTTTTGCAACATTTCACTAACAGTCTATCAGTCATTTTTTTCAAACCATAGATCATACCCATTAGCAACTGCATAGTTGCTTAACATATGTTTAAGCTCAGTAGGGTTAGAAAATCACATACCTATCATTGGTTTCATCGGATCCCATGACTGTCTCTCATCATACACAGGGTACTGGGGTGGCACGTATTCATCATCTTGATCTTCAATCTCTGTAGGTTCACAAAGGATGTTTAAAAATCTATCATGTCCAGTTTTGTTTGCTGGAAATGGATAGTTAGCATCATCTTCTTCATGATCAACAGAATATGAATCTTGAATAACTGAATCCTCATCTTCATCTAGGTCTTCATTTTCACTTTCACTTTCCTCAGCCTCAATCCAGTCGAAGATAGGTTCATTATGGTGATCCACATACACATTCATTCTCTTGTCATTAGCATACACCAAATCCAAAAATTCCTTGTAATCACCCTCGTTCATCAGTGTATGAATTCCCAGACCTAAAGACTATTGTGGAAGGCAGAAATAGATGTATTTACTTCTCGATTTGGTGAGCTTGTGAAGGAATTCCATGAATTGCTCATACCCAAACACACTGAAGTCAACATCTCGCACTGATGCTCTGTCGTGATCAAAGTAAACTAAGGGCTTGGGTGCAAACTGACCATTGTAGTGGAAATCCACTACAATTAAGTTCTGATCAGTAGGATTTGGAGATGATGCCATTCTACAGAACGATTGAAGGAGACGAATGATCGATGAATAATTTTGTGCCCTAGTTGAGTTTAATGACCAAATGAGACTTCGGGGTGAAGTTTAACCAGAAGGAGAGGACAAATCGAGGCCTACATGCCACCTCTTTCGCCACGTAAGATAAAAAGTACATGTAGGATTGATAAATCCTTTAAAACCGGCTAAAACCGGTCATGAGGGGAACATTAGTACAATTCAACAAGTTAAAGGGTTAATAAAGCATGAAATAAAGTTCAGTGACCAAATGTGATCAAAGTCAAAAGTATCTTACCCTCTCAAGTCATTTTCCCTTTATATAATTGAGATTTTATAGACTTAGAATTTATGATCTATGCTCTACTTCCTGTTCCTTGTTTGGTTGTGGTTTTAGATTAGGATCACTTATTCGAAGGTCTATTTAATCTTAAAATTGTATACAACTTGTGTACACTGCGCAATTATAGGAGGACCCTGTAAGGATAACCCCATAATGTTTCACTTAATCTCATAGATTCTTTATACACTTCCATTCTCGCACGACAAACCCTGATAGATGTAACCACCCCATCATAACAGTCAGCAGAGGAGTCAAGGAGGAACAAGAAGTTCATGTAGAGTGTTACAAAGGAGGGAACAGCCGAAGAAACAAAACGTCTTATGCGTCACACTACTAAATAATAACCTTGATTGACTTAGTGAGTTAGTGATTTCACTGCTCACATTATGTGTTAGGATTATTTCTTTTCGTGCAACTGGTAACAGTTATTCAATTCACAGAAATTCATTCGAGGATAGCCACTTCTAATTCAAAAAGTTTATTTTGTATAGACTCCCTTAATGAATTGTTTTCCAGAACCCTACGAAAGTCAGAACCAGATACACTCAGAACTAGGATAACTTTGTCATTTAGCTTTCGGCTTATAACCACTGCTATAGACTTATTTCCATCTCATCTTTGTATTCTTTTTAGAAAGATACCTCCACGTCGATCATCAAGACGCACTACTCCGATAACTCCAACTCAAACACCACAACCTCCTCCATAATTCGATCTGCCAGTTATTCAAGCTACAGTGGCTGCGGCTGTTACGACAACCCTATCTCCATTCAACACGACCGGTACTAGCGATAGTGGATCGGGTGTTAACTACACCCAAGGTGGTAGTCACGGGCACCCTAGGGAGTGTTCGTATAAGGGCTTCATGAACTACAAACCCAAATCCTTTAATGGAAACGAGGGAGTCATTGCTCTGATGCGATGGTTCGAGAAAACAGATTCGATCTTCGAAATATGTCTGTGCCCAGAAGGGAGCAAGGTGAAGTTTGTTGCCTGCACTTTCTCCGACAGAGCCCTAACATGGTGGAATAGCCATGTTAAGTCACTGACCCTATCAGTGGCTAACTCAATAGGTTGGGAGAACCTAAAAGAGATGATGTTGGAAGAATAGCCATGTTAAGTCACTGACCCTATCAGTGGCTAACTCAATAGGTTGGGAGAACCTAAAAGAGATGATGTTGGAAGAATACTGCCCGAGGGGCGAAGTACAAAAGCTGGAACAAGAACTATAGGAGCACACCATGGTCGGCTCAGACATAGTAACCTACACTGACAGGTTTAGCGACCTGGCAGCACTATGCCCCGGGATGGTTACCCCAGAAAGTAAGAATATAGAAAGGTACATTTGGGGTTTAACTACCCCGATTCAAGGGGATGTATTGTCTTCAAACCCAACTACATTCGATAGTGCCAAACGCCTGGCCCAACAACTCATTGACCATGGAGTCCGCCATGGCGTGGTAGTCTCCGTTCCCGATCCATCGAAGGGAGGGGACTATAAACGGAAGTCAGGGAACAAGAGGAAGAAACGAACGACACAGGAAACCCCGCAGGAGCAACCAGTAGTTACGGTGCACGCCGCCACAACACCTGCCACTCCAGCACCTTCCAGTCGATATGCTCGAACTCTCCTGAAGTGTGATGGTTGTAACTACCACAACACCGGAGTATGTCGGGAAATGCAATGCCTGAATTGCCACAGGAAGGGGCACACTGCCCATTTCTGTAGGGCACCGGCTCAACCGATCTCCCAAGTCCCCAGAGTTGAAGTAAACCAGGCCTGCTATGGCTGTGGTGAGACATGGAACTACAAGAGGGACTGCCCGATAACGAAGAACTCAGGAGTGGATGGGCGAATTCTGATGATCACTGCAGGAGCCCCGGAGTCCCCAGCGACCAGCGGTACGTCTCCTAAATAAAACAATTACTTTAAAATTTAATTTATATTTATATAAGATTAAAACTTGGGGAACATCTAAAAGTAATTATAATAACTCACTCGTTTGAACAAGTCACATCATTCATAAGAGAACTAAAGATCCGTACAGGTGATCTATGATGGCCTAGTATGTACATCAGGGTTGTGCATAGCTAAGATTTTGCAGACTTAGAGTGAGTGATTCCGCCTCACTTCCTGTTCCTTGTTTGGTTGTGGATTTAGGGCAGAGCCACTCAGTCGACAGTCTTATTCATCTTAATTATAAATAACTTGTATATGCCAGGCGATCATAGAGATACCGAGGAGGATCATAATATAAAGTATCGACACTAGTTATCAAAAAACTTGCACTGTTAGTACTCGCTCATCGTGGTACGATTGGTGGCAGTGGTAATATCACGGAGGAAACAGAAAGCACTAGAAAGTCTACACAGAGTACATTGTCGAACACACTCGGAATACACCGTCGTATAACAAATGCTTCTTTCAAATCGGCCTAATTTTTGTTTCTGTAAATAGTCCGTTGTCATCTTTCGTCATGGATTGGCATGGTCCTCACCATACTAAATTCATATGTTTCGAAATTTCATCGCCTTAAACAGTCAAATTAACGAAACCCTCGCCATTCGTAACGACAACCCGACCTAGACCTCAGTATTATCTCTTGTCTTCTAAACCCCGAAGTACTCATGCGAGGAGTACCTTGCCCTCCGAAACCTTGCCACCGTATACCCAACAGACCTTCCCGAACTACCACTCGTCCAACAGATCAAGTTCAAGAACAGAGGCTAAGGACGGATACAACCCACCTATCACTATTTAGTGTATACGTGAGAGTAGTATATAATTAAGATTATGCAGATTTAGTATGTGTGTTTCCGCCCTATCTCCTGTTCCTTGTTTGGTTGTGGACCTGGGGCAGAGTCGCACATCCGACTGTCTTACTAATCTTAATTATATACGACTTGTTTACACGATGTGATGATAGAGGGACCAAGTATGAATCTTATAATGAACATCAGGGCAAAGTAGCCCAGGTCTACGAGTGAGTATTCTGCCATTCAGAGGAGCACAACCCCAGGAGTACTGATAGGAAAGCTAATTTCGGGACGAAATTCCATCTAACGGGGGGGGGGGGGGGGGGTGGGTGATGTGACAACCCGAAATTTCTATCTAGTAAAGCCAATCAATCCAATCAAATGTCAGACTTGTTTCTACTATCTTTTAGCATTGCTAGAAGTCTGTTTGAGTGTTCTAAGCCTAGTGCACTTAAGGATTGTATGTTGGGGTGTGTCAGCTAAAGTTCATTGAGTTGAAATCGAGCCGGAAATTCCATCACAAGGAGTTCACAGCCCAAACAAGAGTTTACGGCCGTAAACTCCATGTTGGCCGTGAACCCCTTCCCTTAGGTATCAATTTCCTTCATTTCTTCATCATTCTTCACATCTTCGAGGCTGAAACTTATTTCTCTCTCAAGTATCATCAAGAACATTTCGATTTCTCTTCATTTTTGTAAGTGATTCTTCCATTGTTTCTTAATTTCCTTCTTAACCTTGTGAAACCCTTTGATAACATCCTTGAATTCATCACTTTTCCTTCAAGATCTTCAAATCTTCATCCTTACACCAAGAACACCTACTTGTTCTTGGTGGTCGTGAACTCCCAAAAGCTTCCAAATCGTAAGTATCCTTCCATATTCTTGTTAACCACTAGAAACTCTTGAAGCCTCATGAAACAAACACCATTTTAGCTTGAACGTCAAGAGCTTACGGCCATAGATTCTCCCTTGGCCGTAAAATCACCCCCCTTTGCCGTAAACTCAATTCCCTTGGCCGTGAACTCAAGTGTGGCCGTGAACACACTTTCCTTTGGCCGTAAACTCCCTTTAGACAATCACATGTGATGGTCACACTCATTTCAAGTGTTTCCTGGTCCCTTAAGGGTGTTTCCCTTCATATTAGTGGTGTTAAACACTAATATTATACATATATGTGTCAATATATGTCATTTAGGACTAGTTTGTGTCTCGGGACTTCATTCGTGGAACTTCTCATCCTTACGCGAATCTTCAATTGAATCACCCACATAAGGTGAGTTCATATCCCTATAATCAATATTTTAAATGTTTTAAATGCTTTTAGAGGGGGGAGGGGAATGCAAGTTGAACACAATGATAATTTTTGTAATGTTTATCGGAGATAAACATTCATTTTAAAGGATTTCTTATGTGTTTGTAAGTGATCAAGCATTTTCTAAAACTCCTTTAAAGTTAAGTTACTTTATTGTTTATAAAACTCTTTTTAAAGTACAATCAAACTCAGTAGATAATCGAGTCTTTTCTACAAATCAGATACAGTTCAAGTAAACATACTAGTAACTATAATAGGTATAGTTTAGGGGTTCAGTTCATACTATAACTAGTACAGGGAGGAACATACTATAAACTAGAACAGGGATGAACATACTATAACA